AGCAAGGAGACAACCTTGTGTGTAAACTTCACAAGAGCATCAACACACTCAAGCAATCTGCAAGAATATGGAATGAGAAAGTGAATGAAATCCGAAAGATGAATTTACAAGAAGCAAAGCAGATCCCTGTCTTCATTCCAGGAATCAAGAAGAGAGATGGACAGACATCCTAATTTACATAGACAACATTATAACCTGTTTTGAACAAGAAGGGGACAATAGTCAAAAAGTTTACAAACTAAAACAAAACTTTGAAATTGAAGAGCTAGGAAACATCAGTCACTATCTGGGTATTCAAATAGAGAGGGAAGAAGATGGAAGCTACTTTCTCAACCAAAGTAAAAAAATTGCAGAAATTTTGGGACAATTTCATAAGCAAGATGCAAAGGAACCAGGCAGCACCCTGTCAGCGTCACTGGAATGCAGTAAAGAGGGTACTACAATACTTAAAAGGAACAATTCGGATAAAGCTACGACTGCCAGCAAAGTCCAAATCCAAAACTAGTTGGATATGCAGATGGTGATAGTGCCGGAAACCGCACAGACTGCATATCCATAAGTGGTTACATCTTCCAATACAGGGAAGGAACCATATGTTGGTCTAGCCAAAAACAAGCAACTGTTGCAATTTACTCAACTGAAGCTGAATACATAGAAGCAGCACATGCTTGGCAAGAAGCAATATGGATTCACCAGCTTTTAATGAGCATGGGCATAGAAATGTCAAACCCCATCACAATCTTTGAAGACAACCAGGGATGTAAAAATTTGACACAATCAGAAAGAGTCAACCCTAGAACCAAGTCTATTGATGTGAAGTATCATCTGCTAAGGGACACTCAAGAACAAGTTATTATCGACATGCAATATTGCTCATCAGAAGAAACAACTGTGGATGCATTCATCAAGCCATTGCCAAAGGATCATCACAGTTTCCTTCGAGAGAAGCTAAACGTCATATAGCAATGCATATGCTATTGAGAAGGGGTGTTGGAAATACAACAGAATACTGATTTGTATTAGTGACATTCAGGGCCATTCACACCAGGGCGATTCGGCCGTGCAGATTTGGCTGCGTGGATCTGCAGAAATGAACAATCCCATACATTGCTATGAGGCCCGTTCATGCGACCGCATGGCTCCGTGTGATCCGAACTGCCTCCTACCCGAATTGCTCCCTGACCCTTTTGTGCCGCGCTAATCACCGTGGTTTCCATACTGCTTTCAATGGAACCACAATTAAAAACATCCAAAAACACCCTTTTAAAATCCGTGCGGAAACGGCGCTGATCCGCAACCGCCCTGGTGTGAACGGTGCCTCAGATGTGATATTATCATTTGAGCTCTAGATGGTGCAATGCTAGTCTCTGCGCTTGTGCATGTTTGTGTATGATCTATGTTTCCTGTTAAATGCTGTATTCCTCTATACGAACATGTAATGTCCTGCTAAGCGAGTAAAACTTAATTCAGCATTCCTCAAGATCTCATCTAAACACAGATCAAGTGCTTAATCTAAACACATAACCAACATGAAGAAGTTTTAATACAACCATCTGGAGCCCAAGCAGATCCACCTGAACCTCCTCCCTGGAAGGCAGAGGTTCAGGTGGATCTGCTTGAGCCCTGGGTGTTTGAATAAAATCTTCTTTATGTTTTTTTTTTTTTATTATGGAGTGTGACACCCTGCCCACTTTGCCCTAAATTTTAAATTTGATAAATGTGTCTGTATTTCTATATAGGTGTGTGTAATTCTTTTGCTTAGTAATACCTGGTGATCTTGCCAGTCCCTCTTCTATGCTGTTGGAATCTGTCCATACCAAGTATGAACTGCCTCCGTGCTGGCATGGCAGATCCGTGCTGGCATGGTCAGTTTCAGTGCTTTACCCTTCAGAGTTAAATGGCATGCCTGTATCTCTTTAGTCAGTTTCTAAGTAACCCCCCACCAATCAGTGTACCTAGAGGGGTAACGCACTTCCCCATCTGTTTGCCATGTCATTAACTGGATGCCCCAGCAAGAAACTGACCTGTCTCCACTACCAGGAAGAAGACCTAAATGAAGGTTGTGTAGTCACGTGACTCCCTAACAGATGCTGCGAAACATGTAGAAAGCATTTCCTTTTGACAAAATTAATTGTGAATATTGTAAACAAATAGTATGCACTGGCTTTTTTTTAATGTAGTAGAAGTCTATTCCACCTGGACATAATAACTGTTCTTTTACTTCTTCCATTAACTCATCCCATCTAATTATTAACTTTTGTATCACTTGCCCATCCTACTAGATAATAAGCTCTCACAAGCAGGGCCCTCCTAACCCTCCTGTATTGAAATTGTATTGTACCTGTACTGACTCCCTCCATTTTGTAAAGCGCTGAGCAAACTGTTGTTGCTATATAAATCCTGAAAAAAAAAAATAATAATAATATATGTGCATTCACATAAACTGTAAGGACTAATTTACCATTGCATAATGAATAGCAAATATTGGCATCTGCACCGCACTGTATCTGCATATTATGAGTAATTCCCCACAAAGTTATTGCGATGGAGTTCTCTTAAAGGTGGCCATACACCTTACAACCATTGTACAACTTTTTCTGTCCAGATCATCTCACCCTCGTTCAGTTTTCTTGCAACTAGCTCATCATGCATAGGCCAATGTAGTTCGCTATTAACGCTCGTCAGCACCACCACCTGGCCGATTTTCATCGATCAAAAGGACAGATTTTCGTTTGAGCATGTGTATTTTTCATCTTGAGGTTTTTGTTGTACCACCACGCCACTAACCTGTCAATTTTCGTCCAACTAGACACAAGTTTTCTAGCCTGCTTGAAAGACAAAAAACTGCCAGTTGTACAGTAATTGAGGTTGTGCACTTCCCATCAACTGGCAGATTTTCAGACAAAAACATAATCACAAACAAAAATCTCCAGATAATTGTAAGGTGTATGGGCACCTTTAGCCTGCATTAGGCTGCAGAGTGAGCTTAATGATTGGAGGCAAGGTCAGTCAGGTGTCTTTTAACAGGACACGTGAGCAGGGGCTTCTTTTTTCATTTACTCATCGTGAATGGCATTCTACTTGCTCTGGAGTCCCAAACCAAGTGAAGTGTAAAACACATTTGTGTTTATAAATGTGCTTTATAAATGTTTTTTTTTCTTTCTTTTAGTAGTGGTATAGCCTTGGTAGGGCCACTTCACTACTTTTTAAATAGGTCTGATTATAATACCTAACTTGCTGGTTTGCAGCAAAATGGGCTTGGTAAACGTTGGGTCTATAACTTCCGCCAGATGTGTTTACCATCTTCATGGTCTGATGCTCTGTGTGCCTTCACATACAGACGGCACTGCAGCCCTCCAGTTCAAAGCCACTCTCCTGCTCCCCTACAAGGACTTTGATTGACAACAACCCTTTTCTGTGAGATCTCCCTTGTGTTGTGCATTCTACCAATGCAAGATAAAAGTGTATTACTCAAATGCCAATGCAAATAGCATTGCATTGGCATCAGGGTATAATGTTTATGTATCTCAGCACAGAGGCCATGTGACTAATCTCTGGCCTGTACAAGGAGGAATTTTAGGAAGATTTTGCTGTGATTCTATCCTGTGTTGTATTTCAGGGCAAGGTCATTAGTACTGAGGCTGGAGCTGCTGACTATGATCAACTCCTACCTGACACCTGCATAGAGACTGTACATGCTTCAGTCGTGCACAAATTGATGGCAAGCAGTGCCATTAGAGCAGTCAGAGATAGCTAGAGAAGAAATGGAGCCATAGTCTTAATTAATGGCAGCCTTCATGTTGCAATACAGTTCTAGTAGTGTAAAAATGACAAACTAAGTGCCATGTAGCTGAAGACAGACTGACACAGGAAGCAGAGTGATTGCAAGCCGTAAAAAAAAAAAATGGTGCTACAAAAGAACTGTTTCGGCAATTTAAATTTCCCAGAGACAACAGAACGATGAATCGTTCGACAGAACGATTAATACTCTGACTTGTTGCATCAAGTCATGCTGGGGGCAGGGAGGTGACTGCTTTATTGCTTTAGGTAGTATTATACTGTCAATAAATCCAGACTGGACAAATATACAGTGGTTGGCAAAGTATTTATTTAAATGTTTGTACACGTACTTACAATTATTAAGTTTCCAAATAGCAGGTCTCTCAGCTTGACTTCCCTGTACTTCCTGTCCAGTACAAGATCACAAGGGGGACAGCACAGTCTCCAGCACATGTCCCATTTACTAGCTTGAAAAGGGAAGAGGGAGCAATGGACAGTAGAGGAGTGGCTTGCCTTGTTGTGCCTGTGAAAATATTTAGCTCTTATTAAACATCTATTTGTTGTGTGCACTTTGTTAAAAAAAAAGGTGTAAGTACATTAGATCCCACGCTGCTGTGCGTTGACAGCCAATTCAAAATGAATGTTCTGCCTTAACACAGGTTGACACATGCATGTGCAGCAATTAATGTGAATCTGGCCTAGGGGGATTTTACATTGCATAAGGATTTTTTATTTATGGCAATTTGTGAAAATGCAAAAGAAGGAGTGGGACTCCCCAGTGAAATATGAGCAGTGACATTCCATGGCAAGGTGGGAACAGTTTGCCTCTGCAGTCTACAGCAGTTTTAGGAAGCCGGTGTATAATTTAGACCAACTAATGGAAGACAAATGACATGTCCTTTCTTTTTTAATAGTTGTTAATTTGCTGGGTATGATGTTTGCCCAGTTGCATATCATTTGTTAGGGTGAATTCATTCCCCGCAGGATTTCTTTAATTTGATAGTTTGGCTCAGGGTACTTGATAAATGTATTGATTATTCAGCCCAGCAGCTTCCATTCAAATGCAAAACATGAGTGCTGAATGAACTGACCATTTAATGAAGTCTTACTTCATTAGTGTTACCTATTCACATCTCTTCATTCCTTATTACATTAGTTTTATTCTATTGATGGCTCTGTAAATGTAAAAGACGACATCACTGTGGATTTTTATCCTGCAGGTGGCAGCGTATGACTTCCAGCTTCCCGTAAACATAAACTTCAGTGGTGGAGTAAATGATGCTGACAGCTCTGCTTCTGTCACTCCAACCGATTCGGAAAAGCATATTGTTGTTCCCAGGCCTCAAATGGTGGATGTCATCACTCCAGCATGTAAAGTGAATGCTACGGGTACGTCAATAAAAAATCTCTTTAATGTACTTATAGACTTAAATGTCTATACTTTCAAGCAGGAACATGACACCTGAACTTCTGATCTCCATTTTTTGGATGTTGTCGCTCTGTGACATGCCAGCTTCCATGTTCAGGGTTTTGCACTTGAAAAGCATTACCTCTTAAATCGTATACGGCTCTCCTACTAAGTTTCAACTAAGTTTTTACAAGGCACATTTCTCAAAACTGGAGCAGACAAAATCTGGAGCAGTTGTGCATGGCAATCAGCTTCTCTCTTTCATTTTCAGCTCTTAACTGAACAAACTGAAGAGAGGAGCTGATTGGTTGCCATAGGCAACTGCTCCACATTTTGTGTTCTCCAGTTTTGATAAATTCCCCTCAGTACGTCTTAAGCTCCTTTTGTTCTTGAAAATCATTAACATTCATGAAGGGTAACTCACAGAGTCAGCATATTATATTGTCACAAAATAATATTTTGTATGGAGTGGCTTTATTTTGATGTTCCATACAATAGATTTTAGCATCCAATGACATAACAGGGGCTTTCCGCCAACTATTACAACATAAGGACAGTTATGCTTCTGTGCAGTTATGGGAGCGATCTATTTAAAATAGAGCATAGAGAATCAGAGCTTTAGCTACAATTTTGAGGAGGAAAACAAAAAAAAACCCCATTTAATTCATTGATATAGATTGATATAGGCAACTAATTAGAGCTGCACTCCTGGCACAAAGGATATAAATCCAATGTGTGTGCACTAAATGCCTTTGCAAACCCAGAGACTCTATATTAGTATTAGTGACATTATCACTGTGCTGCACATAGCCTGTGCAAGATCAGAGCTGTGGGAGGGGTAGACAGGCTCCACCCACTACACGAGGGGGTGGATACAAGATCCCTGCAGAAGGTTAGAGTGCAGTAATGACTGGTCTTCATTATAGGAAGCTCTTGCATGGGGTAAAGTTTCACACTGTATTACTGCACAGATCTGGAAGAAATACACAAAGCACACCAAGATTCATGTAAGAATACACATAACTCTTGTATTTATAAAATATTTGCTTATCCCAGAATTCAGCTTTAATTTTTGTTTATTCTCAAGTCTTTCTAAATCGTTCTAAAATTGAGTTGGTTTTATGTTAAAAAACATAATCCTGTAAACTGGATATACAGAGCTCAGCTTTCAGAGAAAGTGTTTTAAGTAAATTGGTGTAACTTGGTGCTTGCTCTGAAACCTGAATGTAATTATGTGTGTATTTTACCTATGAGTATTTTTCACAGTGTTACAGACAGTTCTCCAGTTCTCCACTACAAGGATTTCATTTGAATTGCCATCTGAAGTGTTTAAATTGGGCATTGCAGATGACTCTCTGTTCTCACAGGTAAGGCTCTTGTGCACAATATTTGAAAATAAGTAGATTTGGAGATTTAGAGTTATTATAATTCAAAGAATATTATGAATTAATAAGAGGTCCCTAAAGCTATATTAGGCCTTATTCATATGGTAATTATGAGATTTGGATATTTTAGCCTATTTGCAATAGGAGACAAATATCAAAGGTTTGCTATGTATCTTATTTCTCACTACAGACTTTGATTTTTTTAGCTCCTTACTTAACTGTATAATGTGTATATTTAGCAGACAGTCTATCGTTAAGATGAAAGAGGTAAACATACACGTTTTTATTGCAGTATAAAAAAAGCATAAGCTATTCATGGGCTTAATTTCTATTCTTTTACGCTGAATTTATCATTTGTAGTAGTAGTAGTAGTGTATTGTGTTAGTATGTCTACAAGTATTTAAAGGCATGAATAGGACAGGTAATAAAACATTAACAGCATACCCTTAGTTGCTTCCTTACAAAATAGAGTAAGTACATCTAAACATCGAAATTACCTGTCAAATAAAGTAATGATTTTCTGTTGATACCAGATATGTGACTATGCCACAGAAACCAAACTACTTTTGTTGAGTGTCAGCACCAATTCAGAGATGATTTGATGATCTACAACTGAGTGATACACAAATAAGATAAATTTTTGTTTATAGTTAGGGTACTTGAATGCATTTTTAGGATTTAACTTCTGAGTTTAGTGTTATTTTAGGTGAAAACAAGGCAGTTTATTGTGACACCAACACAAATGGCACAAAACATATATAATAGCAATTCTATAAACCTAGTGGAAGCATGCTTGCAATGGGGAGAAACTAACTAACCTAATTATATACAAAAAGCAGATTAGCATGGCAAGGAACTAAGGGAGACCATATAGAGCAACGTCTGGCAAAACAGCAAGGTAACTTTTGAAATGTTGGTGAAAAACTTGGCCAGAACAGGTTCAGGATTAATAATGTTATACAAAATGGTCTAGGGAATTAGTGGCACTGTCTAAATACGTAGGCAAGGGGTGTGAAGTGAGGTGGAGCTAAATAGCCTCCCAGTTGCCAACTTCATGTTGTGACCAATCACTAGGCTGCTGGGGGACACCTGCTAGTGACACTGAAATGACAAGATTCTAATTTGGGAACTCTACTCTCACCAGCAGGTATTCGGGTTGACCTGCAGGTTCCTGAAATTACCTATTAATGCATATATCTACCTGAGAGTACCCGGATTTCAGAAAACAAAGGGCAATCTATTTAAAATGTACAGTATAAAGAGACACCAAACTATACAATCTATAAAAATGGTACCACTGATTTGAGTGTAGCTAGAGGTTTAATGTGGCAGACTTGTTTAAGACAAAGGCCCTCAATCATCTTCATCAATTTTAAAGATTAAACTAAGATCTCTCTATAGTCTTGTCAGCAAAATAAGGATCGTAAAAAGCATTAAGTTGAGTTTGAACCTGCTGCCCAGTAATTACAGCAAGGATGGACAAATGTCAGATCTTTATAAAATTTGATGAATGACCTTAGAGCTTATATTTTCTTTCACCTAGATCAATTTAAACTCCCTAAAAACATCCTTCTTCAGAACTGTCTACTTCTTCATTCATTAGCTTTAATTAGTCATTATAGTGTAACCATGTGCATTACATTCACCTATGGTATTGACTCTTTAGCTCCATCTTCAACTGATCACAACCATAAGGTGTCCTTGCATGCACAATCTAGCTGCTAAAGTTGCTTGTGTGTAAGTAGATATGCAGGTAAATATGCATGCATGTGTCACCCAAGCATTTATGCTTATGCAGTAAACAGACAGTCCTAGTGGCACCTTACTTTGGGCAAGCAGTGATTGGTTGGGAAAACCCAACCAACTCAGTTTAAAGTTCAGCAATAAATATCAGCTCATATACCAAAGGTGCCTCCATTACCTGATGACCAGAACTGGATTAGAGTAGACAACCAATGGACAATCAATGTGGGGTGGGACAGACAGGAGTCAGCAAGCTAGACATTTTCTGAAAGTTTCAGGCAACTATTGTATAATATTTAGGGACTTGTGGAGACTGTGAACTCTTTCTTGGCTGGTGCTGGGCTCCTGTTTCCTGTTATTTTGTATGTCAATTGTTTGGACCTTTCATTGTGTTTGTATTAAGAGAACTGTACTGTGAGAAATATGATAGCTGTTATTGCTAATTTTTTATTAAAACTGTTCAGTTTGGCTGCTTTTGGCTTCAGGGATTTGAGATCTGATCCAGAAGAAACATGCAGTAAGTAAGACTGAACTTCTTCTGGATCATGCAGCAAGTGAGACAAACTATTTTTATACTCAACTTTAAAAAAAAAAAAAAAAGAATTATCCACAGTTCCTGAACCAATGTACAGTTTGCTAATATATCTGTGCTCAAATAATCCCTCTAGGCACTTGAACTAAGCAACGTTTCAAGGCAAAAGGTGACATGGAGATTAAACATTGATCAGAATGTGGAACTGATTAAGAATGGAATTTTTAAGTTCAGCAAGCGGTTTGGTATACTGGAACCAGGAGACAGGACTAATATAATTGTTAACTTTTGTCCAGGTAAGTATGCAGGAAATTGTTTTGTTAATTTCGTATTACCAACCTGCACTGTATGTTCAGTAAAGTAAACAATTGTGTTTGCCATACAATCGAGAACTGAATTTCATTGTATATTAGTTGAAATGTATTCTCATCTCTCGTTGTTGTATCTCCATTTGTTAACAGTTGGACCAGGGGTTTATTCCGCAGAAATACCTGTGATTCTGAATGACAATCCAGACAGCATTTATACACCTCTCCATTTGTTTGGAACCTCCAGAAAACCACAGCTAACGTTTAACCCACCACTTGTCATACTTACCCCCGTACCCTTGGACACAGAAATTCAAGCAACTGTTGAAATAACACCCACAGATTATTACAGGTATATTAAACTATGGTTTATTAAGCTAAATACTGGTAGGTATGTTTATACTGTATGCTAACAGAAAAATGAACAAGAACTATTCAGGTCACTTAATACAAAAATGTGTATTAAAATTGGTTGCAGGTCTGTTTAAATGCAACTATACACAATAATAAAATGCATTAGTCCAAAAACTACAGTAAGGTAAACAGAAGTCCATATTTAACCTACCTTCAGCATCCTAATTTCTCTAATAAATATCTGGTCATCCTGTTAGATAAATAGCCCTCCTTTTGCAGTGTAACAATGCTAAGCTCCCTGCAGTGAATCCACTGCAGTATTGTCACCCCCTACAGCTGCATCTTTACACATTTTGATAGGGATTATTAGTAGTGTCACTGCTGATAACTCCCCTTCTTGCCAATTAGTGCAGGAAACATGATCCAAGAGGGTTCTCTGTATTTGGTGGAAATGACACAGGCTGCTTCTTGGATCCCACCTGCTTGCTCCTCTAACTGAAGTTCTTGTTGGGCTCTGCGATAATACCACCAGCACCAGGATAGTAAAAAAAAACACCAGAAATGCATCTAAAGGGGCAGGGGGACTGACACATATAATAACATTTAGCCAGAGAGGGACTTGAATGGTAAGTAATGTAAATGTAAGTAAAGTAAATGTTTCTTAAATCAACAATGGACATTAGATGGCGATACATGTCAGCTGTGACCTTGGTAGGAATGGAAGACAGGTGGATCTTATATGGCACACCAATGATTGTTTAGAAGGAAGGCTATCAACTGGCTTGTAATTTTTTGGCAAAGTAATTTATTGTTTCCTTGTGACAAGAACAGCCATTGTTGCTTACATAAACTAAGTAGAAATATTTAGCTGTTTGTGAGACCTATATATTCATTTGTGCAGTTGTGTTTTTATTACAAACGGTAAATAAACATATAACCTAAATAAGTAACACATAACCCCTTTTTCTTTAGGACATCTGTATTAAATGTGGAAATTCCAGAGGTAGAGCTTGATAACGGTGAAAGGGTAGAAGTGTTTTCAGTCTACTTCCCCAATGGACAGATCATTAACAATTCCAGCCACCCGAGTGAAAAACTTATCTGCCGGATCTGCTTCAGATCTTTCAGTCCACTGTGTTGCTTGGTTGATCTAGTATTCACTGATGAAGAAAACAACAAGTAAGTTACTTTTATCTATCTTTTTAAAAAAAAAGCAACAACCATTGTATTGTTTGCCTGATAAAAGCACAACAATAGTATAATACATTGTAGTTATGAACATCTCAGCATGTCTGGGTTTCCTTTTCCCTGCCATATGGGTTACACAAGGGAATAAACCTAGTCTATTTTCATTCAGTTTACTGTACATCTCAAAAAAATATCAGTGGTATATGGAGCATGGAATTCCCCTTTCCTTTAAAACTGTATCTTTCCATTCTGATTCCAGGCAAGAATCAGCTTCATTATACTTTTAGAGAAAACTCTATAAAACAGGAGCAGAATAGCAGACCATAATTGCCAAAGTGTTAAAAGAAAACACAGTTTATAGTGTGCAGTGTTTGTAGAGTATAATTCAAACTAGTAATTTTATTTGTCATGAATGCATCTTATTGTTATTTAGTATATCTGTTTCGTAACATAGATTGCGTAATTTTTTGTTGGCATTTAAATAACTTCTGCATTGTTCTCTTCAATGGCAAAGTTTGAATGATTACAATGAAACTGAGACGATTGGTATATTATCCTTAAAGTCATGGTAATATGGGACATATAGCTACTATCAGCTTCTTAATGGGAATTTGGCAATTCTGCATTTTGTTTTGCCAGATATCATTAGCTGACCATTTGGGCTGCCAATATGTTAGTTTTACTATAACCACTATAGAGATGATACTTTCAGGAATGTTTTTAGAGGAACGCAATATGTACTATGATGCGTGCTGAACACGGCTGTCACATTTCAGTTTATTAGAAAGATAATGGTTTACTATGACATCTTTTTACCTTCTACTGGATCAACAGCATGGGGACACTGTTACAACTTACATAATTTCGACTTTTTGGACTATGACCCGACTAACATTTTTATGAAACTCTTTTATGAAACTAATTTTTATGAAAGTATTGAAATTAGCACTGCATCCTAGATATTGATGTTTCAAATATGTTACAGGAAATATAGAAGACATAAATGAATACAGCTACAGTATATATTCATTAATAAATCCTTACATTTATTTTGTTTAATGCAACTAGTGCAAGTGCTTTAATTTGACTTTCTATCGGCCTCTTGCAATCCAGTTTACAACCAAACTCAGACTGTGAGAGGGAGGCACAGAACTGGGAGCCAATCAATCGTACGGCACACAGATGTGTTGACAAGGCACATGGTAATAGGAGGAGGGAGTAGAGTGAACAGAGGGATGACCACATTACCCTTCTGCTGCTCTTTCACTGTTCAGTCAGCAGGTTGTGGGTGAAAAGATGGCTCCACTGTATCATTAACTGTAAGGGTTATCAACCACCTGAAATTACTGTGTGAGGGGGTTGTGTAAATCTCAAAACTATATGGACAGAAATATAAATCCTTTGTCAGATAAAACAACACCCTTATATGTATTCTATATATGTACTGTATTTAGCTGTGGGCATGGAGTTCAGCCTTAGCAACTGCTCAGAACCACAGCATATGTGAAATATAGGTTTGCCCATTTGTACATGTAATCATGTTACTTTAAAAGGCTTTGTTTTTACACACATAAGTTTTATGCTGTTTCAAGACTGGGTAAAAATCTGTCTGAAGCATTGGTTGCCAAGCAACAGGTTCTGTGCTGCTGGCAATGCCCACACTGGTCGTCTGCATCAGCATCCTGGTTGCCAGGCAGTGGGTGGGCTTCTTTTTTCCTAGCCTCCTCTGTTCTCATTGGCCTGTGGCACTGTTGTGGTAAATCTATTCTTGTAAGTACACCCCTATGGCAAATGACAAATATGACACCCCTATGACAAATCTTTTTCTTAATTTAGATTATGAGAATAAATATACAATATCAATTTTATTTGTCATTTGTTCAAGTATAGTACCTGTATCTGTAGGCACTGTTTGAATAAAGATTTAACGTTTGCTGTTTCAAATGTTTTGAAAAAGTCAACAATTTTCATTAGGTGCACTTACTTTTTCACATGGCTGTGTTACCATTTTGGCTTCCTTCCCTCAAGCATTTTACTGCAAAGCATCAACAGCAAAGCTTCTTGGCCTCACTTTTAACCTTTGATTTTTTTTTTATGGGGCACAGACAAGTGTTATTTTATGTTTGATACCTCCACATTCCTGAGCCAAATATAGATTAGGACTAGTGATGATTCATACATTTATTATTCTTAAAACGCTACATGCCGATTAATAATTCAGCAGTGAAGTTCCTTTCAGTAAGCATAAATTCTATAACAGACTTTCCTTTGTTGCTTTCCCCCAGAGCCCTCATGAGAATACTCAAAAGAATATCTCATCCTATTGTTTTACAGATTTACATTTTTTAGTTTTAACTCCTCTGTTGTTTTCGGATGGCTAGAATCACAGAAAAATATAACAAAAGCTATTTGCACATCCTAGAAAGTTACTTTAAATACATCTTTTAATTGTTTTGTGTTTAAGATAAAATCCAGTTTATGTTCTAAAAAGTCATCTATATTTTTATAATTTTAGGCATAACGAATTCTGTTCAGCAGTTATCAATTAGCTTCCATCTAATCCCATAAATCTATGCCACATAACATTGTTCCCATTGAGGAAAATGTTATTATGCTTTACCGGATTAGAAGACATAAAAAAAACACCCTCTACTCTGTAGCTGTCGCCTTGTGGAAAATAGATGACAAAATCACAGAGTATGTTTAATGAAAATGAGCTTCCTGCGCTTATGAGTTTTTTAGTCTTCACGGTCGGAGTTTGAGCTTTTTTTGGCTACCAGCAGGTTGCAAATGTTGATTCACATAATATATTTAATGACTATTGCCTATTTTCTGTAACTTCTTTGCAAGTGCACATTAGGGAAATAAGTATGAAAACAGCAGAATGGCTGATGAGTAACAAATGCTTTTTGCTCTTTCAAGATAGTGATATGGAACATACATTGTGCCGTTTTACTGATATTTCCTGTCTGTCTTCTGACTTCTGACTTTTTACTTTTACTACTGCTTTACATTTCCCCTTACACTGAGCTCTTTTCTAATAATTTGTTTCATATAAATATAATTGATAATAAACTGTTAATATGTGGAGTATAGCTACCATTGTCAGGGCCTACCAATAAACCACATAGATTGCTCAATCATCTTTATCTGGACATATACTCCCCCAGAGAGACCCTGTCATTCCAAAATTTGTCAACATATTTATAGCATATTCACATAAATAAGCCAGTGTTGCAATAAATTAAATAGTTAATTTCCAGCACCCCTTCTTAAACTAGCCTGATGCCCCACCCTTCTTGCAGTAACATACAAAGCAGCCTGATACCTCCTCCTTCCTCTCATTCACATACAATGCAGTCTGCTGCCCTTCTCCTTCACACATACATACAAACAATGCAGCCCCCCTTCCTCTCACATACTCAAACAATGCAGCCCTTGCACCAGAGCAACTCACTGCAGTACTCCTGAGGCATATGGCAACCAGGGGTAGGAGTGGTCATGTGCTGTGTAGGATCAGGATGTGTCCTTGTATAGGATGTCTGTCATTGGTGACTGCATGGCTGGGGATGGTACAGTAAATGTCCTCTCCATATGAAAACACTGCATCCAGGGCACCTGCCTCTTCTGTCCCCCCCTCATCCCGACCCTGCTGCTAAGACACATTTAACATTTCTGAATGTTCCCTGTAACATAGCAAATTAGCACTCGAATCACTAGTTGCAAAACAGCAACACTTGAATTTGCAGCATTAGAAAGCTCATAGGAAGTTAAAATGGCAACTTGTGTATCACATGTGTATTCTAGCATAAGACTCTGAGGTTGCTACAGGACTTGCACTGATTACTGTGACCATATTGCAATGTCAGAAATATGGTATGGCACTTGCGCAGAAGTGCAAGCAAAGACCAGCCACTATTGCAGTATTGCTGACATCAAAATATGACAGCAGTAGACCACGCATTTGCACTACATAAGGCCTCCATCTGGAAATATGTCAGAAATATGGCAGTGAGATCCCATGCATTCAAGGTAGTGACCGGTCTGTGCTGCCACTACTGCACACGTGAAATCTCACACAATAGGTTTACAACAATGTCTTGCATCTGAGCAGGTTTGTCCTCAGACTAGAAGCTTTTATTTCACAGTAAATGGGCACTAATCTTCAGTAAAAAGGCATTTGTTGCATGCACTCAGCACCAGACCAGCAGGTCCAGTCAAGCTACTGCTTTAGTGAAGAAGTAACTGACAACTGGCAAGCACTTCTATTCCTGTCCTGCCACCACTATGAAAGTATCCCCCTTCCCCACTGCTGCTGCACTGAACAAGGAGAAGCATGACGTGGGATAGGCAGCATAGGAAGAAGTGCTGTCAGGATATTGATAAATGTAGTGCCCCCAGCACAGCACTCTAGCGGAGTTCCAACCCACTGTCACCCATCTGCCAGCACAGCACTCCTCTGGTCTCACAACCCATCCAGAGCTCCCCCAACCCCCACTCTGCCAGTACATCTCCCCACTCCCACTTTTACCAGACCACCAGAGCTTCCCCATACACTCACCAAGCACATACCAAGCTGCACTGAACAAGGAGAAGCATGACGTGGGATAGGCAGCATAGGAAGAAGTGCTGTCAGGATATTGATAAATGTAGTGCCCCCAGCACAGCACTCTAGCGGATAAAAAAAAAAAAAAAAGAATTATCCACAGTTCCTGAACCAATGTACAGTTTGCTAATATATCTGTGCTCAAATAATCCCTCTAGGCACTTGAACTAAGCAACGTTTCAAGGCAAAAGGTGACATGGAGATTAAACATTGATCAGAATGTGGAACTGATTAAGAATGGAATTTTTAAGTTCAGCAAGCGGTTTGGTATACTGGAACCAGGAGACAGGACTAATATAATTGTTAACTTTTGTCCAGGTAAGTATGCAGGAAATTGTTTTGTTAATTTCGTATTACCAACCTGCACTGTATGTTCAGTAAAGTA